CTTGATTGCAAAACAAGACATTAAAAAATTAAAGGCCAGATTTTCAAAGACCTTTTGGTGTATCTTATTGCAATTATTTTAGCAAAAAAGAAGCATATAATAAATGCAAAATACAATTGAAAAACATTCTGCACAGATCACCTCCGGAATGGAGATGGAAAAACAGCTTAATTCCAAAACCAAATTGATGTCTTTTTATCTCTATGCTAGGTAAACACACAGGGCTGCTTATCTGTATCACCTTGTCATAGCACCTTTTCTTATGGTGTCTATTAGAAGTTCACTCTTATTTGCCCAAATCTGCTGAATAATAAACACCTCTGCTCAGAGCCTCCTGTGTATCCCACAAGAGACAGACAGGCTGCGGGGTGGGTGAGTCTCTCTTTCAAGCGCAAATACACATTTGATACATTTGAGGGGGGAGGGGGTGATGTTGTGGTGGTTTTTTTTTGTATTCTACAATTGTCTGTCACAGTGCTCCAAGAAACCCCATTTTGTATCTCTCCTTAAGAATACATCAGCCAGTCCTAGTTCATTTTCCCCCTGCTCTTTCCTTTTGAAACCAGTGCTCAAAAAAAAAAAAAAAAAAAAAAAGATACTGGAGAAAAAAAAAGAAAAAGCCCCATTTTCCTTAATAAGCTGAACTGGTTTAGTTCTCATCATTCTGACAGCCTGGAAAACAGTGCCCAGATAAGATCTTCACTTGTTTGCAACTGAATTTCTGCTGTAATACATTTCCTTGTCCTTGTTCTCAACTTACTCACAAGGTGGCACCAGAGCTCAAATTTTTGGAAAGACCATTCAGAAACTCTGGATACCATTTTTTAGCCTCCTGCAAATTTATCATTTGTTTTGTCAGGGCAAAGCCAAAAGGATCAGAAGAGCATTCACAGTGAAAAAGAAACGGGAGAACCTGTTCAACTCGTGTGCAACATGGCTGATCAGGAAGTGATAGTGATAGATGCTAAATGTGACAAATTTAGCATTTCCAGTGCATTTTATCAAACACTAGTGAAAGAATTGGTGTTATTTGAAGGAACAGTTTTCCAATACTTTCTAACTGATTAAAAAATCACCATCCCTTAAGAAAGCTTTTCCTGTCTTGCATCACTGAAGATGAAGGGTGATTCTTTCATTTACAGGGTTGCTTTGAAGCTGTGTCCTCACAGTACTTTCCTGCTTATAGGCTACAAGTGTACAATAATGAAAAAAAATCACATTTCAATCCTCTTGTTGCTTTTTTTGTGACCCCTTGGTCCCCTCCCACCAACTTACATCAAAGCAAGGAAGCCTTCTCATGAATTTCACTATGGCCTTTTCTGTAACATATTTACTGACATTTTCTTTCCTTTTGATTTTATCCCTCACCTCCCCTTCATAAGCTTTAAATGGCTGGATGGCCATTCCCCATTAAGTGGCTGGGTTACCATTCCTCAGAAGTCTCAGCTGACTGCAAAAAGTTCCACCCTACTGCAATTCTAATACGTCTTTCCAAAAAAAGGACATCTGACTGTCTTGAAAAAAACCCCAATCAAACCATGACAGACTACTTTCCTTCTATCCCCTATTCATGCTTGATTAAAGGCTTCTTTATTTTTGTAGGCTGTTATGAATGACTTTTCCCACCTCAGAAGAGGGATTATAAAATTTGTACATTCTGTTTCATTAAAATAGTGGTGAAAATTCCAGCACACTGACTATGCCTGAGCAAGCCTTCCTCCAGACAGACTGAGTGAGTACTGAGTGATTCTTTGCAGTCTAACTTTGGTGTGGTGTATTTTTTTTTTTTGTTTTGAGATAAGTTTAGAATGACTTGAAAAAACCTTTTCCTTTCCCTCCTCCTATTTTTTCTTGTACTGGTGCTTAATTTCTAATATTGATTAGGAAAACAGCTGCAGAAAATGTGCAAACATCTCTCCTTGTTAGAAATCTGTGGACTTATCCCATGCTTGAAGCTCAGCACAGAGAGAAGCATGTTATTGAATGGAGTCCTTAGGGACTTACATTTCAAACTCATTTACAGTGATTTTATGTGACATTTTGTCCTTTGATAGGCAGAAAGATAAGAGCAAACAAGATCCAAATGACCTTTGTTTACTTGTCTTCTGTGGTAACCCAGCTTCTCTTAACAATAATCTAACTAGAGTGACTTATACTTAGAGCTTTACTTACATTGCTCTGTTGATGCTCTTATTAATTTGCATAGAAAACACTGCCTTATTTGTGCTGGTCCATTTAGTTCTCTCTCTCTTTCCCCCCCCCCCCCCTTGACAGTGCAGCATAGGTCTTTAGGACAAGGACTACTCTTTCTTAATGCCAGGAAACCACCTTGCCACTTAGGTGTCGCTATAACTGAAAACCGTATTTTTTTTTAGTTTAGAAATATCTTCCCCTTCCACTCAGACCATCAGGGAGCCTTCTGGCAGTGAAATGGATGGTGCAATCACTCTGTTCCACAAGTATTTACCCAAGCCCTATTTTTTGCAGTTCTTGAAGGAGTTTCTGGACTGTAATAGTTGGCTGCAAATTTCCCATGGAAATAAGGAGTCGTATAAATACATCATGACATTGAAGACGCTTGTGAAATGGCCATATGAGCAGAACATTTTTTTAAAAAAAACTTCTGGTTTTTTAAATGCATGTGGAAGTAGTACCCTCACTGTACAGAAATGTGTTCCTCTCAGATGGAAGTGAATGCCTAGGGAAATTTAACTAGCTTGCAGTGGAAGTAAACTTGTGACTCCTCATTGGTACACCACTACACAGACCTCCACCAATCCTTCCTCTTCAAAACAAGCAGCATTTGCATTTGTAGAAATAGACACCATCAGAATACAATCAAAATGCAGCTATACACATAAAATTATAGTGAAATATCTTAAAATTAGGAGAGCTGTTTAGAATGCAGGAATGTACAGTAATCATTTCCTTCTGTTGCACAGTCCTGCAAAACTTATAATCAGAAAACAACAATTTTTCTATTAATAACACGTTTAACTTGATACCATCTCCTTTACCATAAATGAAAATTCTAGGTGCTCATTTGTTCACATTTTGAAGTTGAGTATTTAGGCTGGGATCTCACAAAGCACATGCTGCTACTGAGCCCCTCTTGAACTCAGCCAAAAAGAAAGAGACCACTTCAAATAAATTTAAATTTTCAATCATTCCTTCAGCTTTAATTGGAAGTAATTTTTAAAAACCTGCTATAGCTTTTTTTGATGGATTTTTTGCGTATTTTGGCTTCTCTAGTGAACAAACCTCTTGAAAAACAACTCTTTCCTATGCTGATGAAATCAGATTCTTTCCCTTTGCATAGCTAGAGTGCCTCCCAATTTCACAATGACTGAAATGTTGAAACAAGAGTTTCACGATTAGGCCTAATAATCTACTGGCTACAAGTTAATTAGTTATGACCCATCCACTGAGTTTGCTCTGGTTTTTTTGTTTCTCCAAGGGTCCAGCCAGGAACACAGGGACTATCTCAAAATCCATTCATTGAAGTTTCTTCACTTTTAATAGGTTGTTACCGATGCCAAAAAGGTTAGCAAAGCATATATGCTTTATATGCATGTATATTTTTATATATATATTTATATGCATATAATCAAAACATATATGATTATCACCACAAGTTCAAAAGGAAACCACAGCTGAAACTAATCATTCCCTTCTACACATTTTCTTTGTTGAGAAAGGAAGCAAGAGAATTCTGGTAAAGAATCAAGATACAATCTTCATTTCATATTCAGTAAACTTAGACTTTCCTTCCAATCAACTTTTACTGTCACAATCAACCTTTCCAACTCATCGTTATGTGTACTAAAGGATTGGGGAATTGCATTCCCCTGACATCTGCCTCTTAAGAAAATGCACCTTTTGCTAGTGTCACACTCAAAACATACAAGGTGGTTTGGTTTGGTTTTCTCTGAAGCTTGTCATTTGATCAAACAAATCCCTCAACACATGATCTCTATCCATATGTCTGCTTGCTTGTTTGTTTTTATGTTTTAATTGATGACTATCATATATATGTCCCATAAACTCCTTTGGTTGGAATCTCTCTCTTCCACTTATCCTATGAGGACAATAAGGATTACCAACAAAATAAACTATGGTAAGGTGGGAACTATAGATCTTGGAAAACATTTGGGGTAGACCAAAACTTGGCCCTGTGGATGGGACATGGGAATTTTCTTTCCAGCTCTAGCAATGCCAATGTTTCTTCTAGAGTAAGACTTCTCCTTTTCCAGACACCTAGTTCTGTTATCCTAGACCATCACAATATGAAGCAAAGAGGGCCTGCAATGTTTAACACAAATTAGCCAAGATGACCTTTGTTTTCCCAATAGTTTAGCATGCTGTTGTTCAGATGAGTAATTGGAGGCCACCATAACAAAGACCAGCAGTGTCTGCATGTAACAAAAAAACAAGTAATGCTTAATTCCACCTGTGCACCTGAGGGCTATAGGAACTCATTTGTACAGCATCTGGTACAATCGGGACAGTAATGTCAAGCATGAACTCTGACCAAAATAGAGGTATTGGTAGTAGTTTTATCACTTTGGTGATAATATAAAAAAAATTACACAACTCATCAAGAAAAAGATAAAAGTCCTACATGGGCTATGAAGAGGTTTTTCAATTTTTTTTTTTTTCTTTTTCCCCCCTATGTACAAAACATAACAGGTTTACTTACTCTGGAATTTAAGTGAAAAAGAACAAGATAGAGATATCATTATCCTTTTTATATTGGTAATTTTTTTTAATAAGTTATCTCTAGTTATTTTTTTTTATATCTGGCTTACATAAACCCTAACTGAAGTGAAGTCAAAAGGTATAGGCTCAGCTATACTGTGTGATGTTGCTACAATATTTTTTGATTATTTAAGTTATTTACTGATTTTTCTCTCATGCACAGACAACTTGAAATTAAGTGCAGAAAAGCAACAAAGGACATACAATGTTCCACATGGGTTAATTTTATTTTTAAAAGTTTATTTGCTTTGCATAGATGAAAACTTCATCTTTTTTATGATTAATCAAGCAAATAGAAACTTAAGGGCGTTCTTTGACTTTGGATAAATAATGACAACAAGAGATATTAATGCCATTCAGAATAAAGATACTGAAAAAATACATTCCAGGTTACAGGTTTTTGACATAATACATATGGACTAAGTACCATTCCAGAGAAACCTCACTGTGTAAAGCCTGTATTTTTTTATAGACAGCTGAGGCAAATGTAAAGACCTTCAGCAACAGGGCTTGAGTGCATTGCAGGAACATGAAACTTAGTTATCACTTCCACATAAAGCCACCAGGATGTTTTCATAATCCCCTTTGAGTTCATCCTGTCAATTTAAGTACAAAAAAACACAGTTGTTAGGATAATGGTCTCAAGTGAAATAAATTTCAGTGAGCATTCAATATACATGTACCAAACACCAATCCTTCACCTAAATAAATTAATTACTTGATAACATATATGTGCTAGCCACAGACTGAGCTTGAACTGAGTACCCTCACTGAAGTTATTCGTATGACCTAGAAATAAACACATGCATTTCCAGAGTGGAGTAGAGGTAGACAAGGCCAATAAAAATCCTGGGAGGTCTCATGGCATAAATAAAGAAGCACAGAAGATTTCTATCTGCCCAGGAGCTTAAGATTTTCTTCTCTAGATAAAGTGAAAATGCTTTCCTTGACCCGTGATGTCCAATGTTCATTAATATTAAAACACTATACACATTGTAACTAGCATTATCTCAAACACAGGCTGATAGTACAGTGGTATTCGATTCACCCTAGGATCGCTTATTCAGCTTGGAAAAAATGGATAATATGCATTAAGTATGCACTGTAATTATTACATGCTATGTTTTCTCAAATTTGAATCTACTTTGCCGAGACTTATGAATTGTTTAGTGCAACCAAGCTATGCCTCAAGCCATTTGGATGCAATCATCACTTTGGAACATGATGAGGTCATGTAATTACATACCAAATTACAGATCACACACAGTCATGATGGAAGAATAAAAGTGATCTTTGGCACCTAACTGAAAAAGTAGCAGACACCACCAAGGCATCTTGATACATGTAGGGAATATGTTTCTACTCCAATCAAGACTTCATTTTTTGGTGTTGTCTACTAGTCTCCACAAAGCTGCTTTGCAAGATTAGCTTTCTTCAAGTTCCTCACTGGTTTAAATTTTCTGGAAAATACATTGGGTCATCTGTCCCCTTTAAGAAGATACTTTTACTTAAGTCACCTGGAAAGCAGGCCAAATAAATGTCAAGTTAACAAGGTATTTGCAGGAGCACCTCAAATGTTAAAAACTAATAGCCAGTTGCATCAAATATCTCCCATAGAGCTGTCAGTGCAATCATCTCCACTCTCCTGCCAATATACCTTATGTCTGCCCAAGCACAGGAACTTGGGGATACTGTAGTATTCATTCAACTCTTGGCTTCTACTGTAAGATGATATCCTGAGACATGTACCACTACTAGTAAATGGCTATAGCTCTCATGGCAAAAGCATTGCCCCAGAAAATGAATTAGTTCTACAAGCATGTGGATCACTGACAACATGAGTAACTCAGCTACAATGAGTTACTCAGGATGAACTGATGACTGAGGAGCAGAAGAGTTAACAAACCCCTACTGAACTTCCAAAATCATTTGGTTGTTTTGCGTTTCATATGTCACCTGAGAGAAAACCTACCATAACGGCTTGGCGGAGAGAGATGCCATACAGACTCTTGTAATAGCCTTTGATCTCATTCATATCCACTTCATGGCGTGAAACCATGATTCTGATGAGCTCTTTGTGCCGTGTCCCAAAGCCCTGTTAAAAGAAAAAAAGAAAAAAAATGAAAAAAAAGAAAAAAGAAAAAGAAAAGAAAAAAAAAAAAGAGGCTACTTATGTCATTGCAACATCTTAAATCAAAGTTCTGTGTGTTAATCTATCAGACTTCTTTGTGGGTGTACAAAGCCCACATCCTACTCCTTCAACATCCCTCATGAGGGGGTCCTGTCATATCCCACTTCTGTTCCCTATGAGCACAATTCACTTCTGACAGGTTACCTCCACCCCTGGACTTCCTTTTTACACATTCCTTTTATCTGTTTCCTAAAAAGAGGCGTGTCCTTCACCATGCTTGCTAGACACCAGAGACAACCTAGACTTCACTGCCTTTTTTAATTACTTTTTTTTAAGAGTGCAATGAACTGTATTTTCATAACGATTTGCTCAATTTTTCACATACTGCTCCTAACCAAGTCACAGGAGTTATGAAAATACCTGCATACTAGACTGTTTCAGGATCTCCAGCTGCCTCCCTCAACTCAGGTTCCAAATTTGCCAGGACCATGGATGTCTTGTCAAAGATTAGGCTTCTACAAGGTGCTTGTCCAGATCTGCAATTGCTTTCCTATTTACTTTTCACTAATATTTTTGTGTTTTCATAATTAAGAAAAGTTCCAGTTAGCTTTCTGTCACTGTCTAGAATAAAAGATATATGTGTGGATGGACAGATGCCTTCCTGAACTCACTGTAGCAAACAGACAGCTCCTACTATGGAAAGAAGTTTCAAAGGAAAGAACAGGAGAGAGGGAAATGCACTGAATTTCCTTCTGCAGTCCTTTTTTATCACACAAAGGGCTTAGAGAACTCTAGCTAGCTTTTTATTTTTCAGCTTACAAAGCACCCCCTGTTTACAAAGAGAAGTTCTTTCTTTAGGTTACCTTCATTGCCAAGTGGAGTTTTTCAGCAAAGAAAGCTGGCTTGCTTGTGGCACACTTCACTGTAATGAGACAATGAGATAAGGTCACATCTGTTATACATGTAACAGGTAATAAAAGGCAAAAGTTTGGAAAGAAAAAACTTTAAAAGTAGTCTCAGTGTTCCTACCAGCATATTCTATTTATCTACTTTGTTACCTGTCTTCAAAATATGGGAGAAGTAGCAGTTCCTTTCTTCTGTCTATTCAGAAAGCAATGCAGTCAGGGGAGAACAGTTACAAGACTGTATTCCCTAGTTTACTGCCACAAAATTAAGAAAGATGTTGCAGTTCCCAAGTTTAGCTTTTCCACAAGAAAAATGTGAAAGCATTTGTGTCTTCTACAACAGAGCTGGAGATTATGAGCTGATGCTTTGTAAACCAAGTTATACTAAGTACTTGCCCTCTACTTCTGGTATTAAGACGGATCTGATGGGAGTCATTCTTTTATCCAAAGTATGCTTGACTGTGATACAAAAGCTGAGAACAAGATGGGTGTCTGGCTTCTGATTCCATCTCACTGATAAGAGTGACTTAAGTGAGACACTGCCTCACCTTATTATTCATGAGGAGCAGTAATGTTAAGGGTGTTAAAATACACCTTCATAACAAACCTTATAAGAATATTTTTTGAACAAAACTGTAGAAGGAAATTTGTTATATTTTTAATAATCATATATTATAAATGTCTTTGAAAAACAAAATTTAGAGAAGAGTGGGTTTGGGTTTGGTTTTTTGAAGACAGGCTCAAAATTATTGGATTTTTATACATATTGTGCCTGTTCTGACAGCTCTTTTTGGCATATTGACTTCCTGTAAAGATCTTCCTATGTTGATGACACATCTGTTCTCCTTAAAAGACCTTTCTACATATCAGGAGAGGTATTTCTACTCATTCATCAACTTTAACTGACTTTAAATAATTTAATTAAATAACTATGTTTGGACTAGATTTTCCAAAGTATTATTTAGCAAGTTTCTCAATGAAGCAGGGTAAGCCCAGAATGGCTTTCTATCAGAGTGAGTATGACGGAAGTAAAAAGTAGGTTTTCATATGGTCAGTATATATACTAGGTTACAATATGCAGAACCACTTACCAAGGGCAGTCAGGCAGTTCTCAATATCACCTTTCAGCTCCAAATCTAGTACCTTGTTCATGTCATGCTTGCTGTATTTGGTGTACTTCTGAAACACTAAATAAGGAAATAAAACTCAGTGAATAGTGATGAAAAGACAGAATTCTCCCTGCACTGCCCCTGCCTTATTCTGCTCTCACTGCTGCAGCAGTGCACACAGATGACTGATTGTAGGCCATCTTTCTCATTTTCTTCAGCCAGCACTGTGTGAAGAGCAGTGTTACTGCATGGACTAGTAGATTCAGCATAAGGAATGGGACTTTGTTAGGATGGTAGGGTTCATGTTCCCATTGGTAGGGATAGAGGTGGTCCAATGACTCCACTGGAGCCTGTGACATTAGGTGATATCCCTCTACCCAGGGCAAACTGGCTGAGGAGCAAGACCATGTTGGGGAGCAATCAGAACCCCTGCCACACTGATCCCTTGGCTTTGTCATCACTAGCCATGTGAGACTTCATGGTAATAGTTTTGTTAACAACCTAAATGGTATTGCTGATCAGTAATATGGAAAGAACAGCCAAGCTGCCAACTGCACCCTTAGTCAGCAAGCATGTGTCCAATTACAAAGACCTTTGTAGCAGTCAGAGTCATGTCTTGATAATCTGTATCTTCTCTGAGTTCATGAGCAGGCCATGTTCAAAATACAATTCCTGTGAAGTGCAAAGTTTCATCCAACCTACCCCTTCGGAGATGTGGGTAGCTTCTTGCAGTAAGAACAGTAACAAACACATTAATATCTGTTCCTTTCCTTTTCTCTCCTGCTTCATACAAGGCCTGTCATAAAGAAAAGAAAGTAGTAAAGTTAACATCAGTATAGTAAAACCCAAACAGAAATACTGCACTTCTGAGGCTACCAGCCAAAGGTAGGCCATTGCTTGTCAGTAGCCTTGACACAAGCTATAACAAAACTCTACACAACCTCAAACTCTAGCTCTATCAAGTAATACTTCATACTTCACTTATGTCATAATAGTACCTAGAGAACACTATGCAACTACAAAACATATTTTCAGATATTTTACGACCACCATCTAGCTCTCCTGGGTATATTGCATTCTTGAATGAAGATATTTTTAATATATCATGATATTCTTACAGTCTGCATGAGAGTTAGGACTGGGAAACTTTCTTCAGACAAACAAAATTATCTCTGATATTAACTGGACAAATGTGAAGGAGCAGCCTATGCACCAAGTACTCCTTGTCTTTGCAGGAGTGACTTTAATGGAAATTAAGAACCAAATCAGTCTCCTTCATTTTTTTCACCTCCTCAAACTTCTCTGGAATAATTAAAGACCTCCACACAGCAGCAAAGAAGATTTAACAACACTCCCTCTGCACCAAGAGAAATAGTATTGAACTTTTGAGCTTAGACAGAGTATTAATTTACTGATCTTTTATACATAGGTCTGATGACAAAACTAAACTCCTTATAGTAGGAATAAAAGCAGTATTGCTCAATGGCCTTTTCTTGGTTGGATTTAAAAAAAAAAAAAACAGTTTAAAGTCAATCTACATTTAAATTGTAACAGTGATATAAGATTTTACAGGTGAAAACTCATGAAAGACTGCTAAGGTTTACCAAGATTTTAACAAAAATAGTCACACTAATGGTCGAAGAAATAAGGGAAAGACCAGTTGCTTATTTTAGAATTATTCAGAAAATTACTGTGAGGTTTACCCAATAATCTTGAAAGGTTCATCACTGTAATGCAATAGCTATAGCTAAGACACTGCGGAGTTCACACTGGTCAAGGTATGGTAGCTGGTTCTGCACATACTTGAGCACACCCTTGTCCCTCAATTCAAGAACTGTGTTACAAACAGAAGGAAGACTGTGTCTAATTTCTCCAATTGTTGACGTCTACTTCAAATGGTCTGCGTACTTTACATGAACTAGAAGAGGTCTTTCAGAAATGTTCTGAAGCTAGATATTAGGGTGAAGATTTAATTTCCTTCAGATAGTGAAGCTTACATGAACTTTATAAAATAGTATCCCCTCAGAAAATATTTCTACATAACATATACATCTCTGTTAGGTCTGCAATGCACAAGATTCAGGTAGAATATTCGCAGCCAGAGTTTGTAATCTCAAGTCAGACAACAAAGTTCTGCAGAGTGCCAAGTATGATCTTACCCTGGCATCACTGTCAGCAAGCTCATCATTCACATGAGAATCTTCACATCGGTCAGCCTACATAAATAAATAAATGAAATTTCACTGATACTCACAATCATTCAGTTCACCAAAACTCAGTATTTTAGAGCTCTGCCCTACCATTCTCATACATAACTTAATACATACTTGCAGATAGATACAGTTATGCCATCATTCTGTGAATAAAGCTGTTGTATTTGTTAATCAATTAGAGCTCACATTTCTAAGGTCATCAGCAACTTATTTCTGAAGTCCTACATTAAAATCCACAGGAAGTATTGTTTCTTAATGTGAAGCTACAGGTCCCTGATAACCATTCAATAGACTCCTTTCAAGTTGGTTTGAAACCAAAAACTGAAAATCAAAATTATGCACACAGACATATCAAAAAATAATCCCTCGTGCATGTACAAGCTTCATATACGTATACTTAACAATCACAGAATCAAATATTTATGCATTTTAAAAGGGTCTTTTTATTGGGCAGCTCCAGTGTTTAAACTCATCTGCTTTTGAACATAAATTCACAAAACACTGTCCACTTGTTAGCTCCCTGCCCCTGTCCCATTATCTAACTACTAGAAACATATCTTAACAGCAAGCCAAAAGGTTTACTTCTCTAACTGTAAGCATTTCTTCTTTTTCTATTTCTAGTCAATTGACATGACATTATTCCTGTTGTTTTTTCAAGTGCTTACAGACAGTTACCACAAAAAAAATCTTAAAAGCATAACTGATAAACAATAATAAACATCACTGTTTTTTAAAATGCATTTGGGATAAAATCTCATTATAGCTTGTTTAAGAACAATTTCATATGGTCTAAGATATGTAAATAAAAATTAAGTCAAGGAAATAGATATTACCTAAATCCTTATTTATTGTACATCTTTCTCTAAAATAGTCTTGACAACATTATTTTTTTATTATGGGTAATGTCACTCAAAATGCTTAAGCACAGCATACCTTGGCTAGAGCAACCAAAGCCTTCTGAAAGTCTCCAGATGTGTCAGAGATAATGTCTTGTGTCAGATCTCTCTTCAGCACTGAAATGAAAAGGATTTGTAGCTTGTTTTAAAGTTAACAGCTAGGTTGACTAGATGATCTTTAAGATCCCTTCCCACCCAAACCATTCTATGATTCTATGATTTTTTTCAGCCTTTTCTTAATTCCCCACTTAAATATGCCCACTAGAAATGCAGTTTTCTTACTTTCTCTCATTTAGATTTGAGACAAGGTAAATTTGTAACATGTCCTCTAATCCCTGAGACATGCTGTGAAATTGGAGGCTAAACCCAAAATCCACTGAAAAAGTTCTTCTCTGAGGTCTTGTGGGTGGCATTGTGTTGAGCTCTTGCTTGTGAAGTACAAAAAAAAAAAGCTTGAAACTTTTTCTGAACCATTTGTCTTTCATTCTTATTTCTGGTTGTTCTTATCACCACTGAACTCAATCACAAAACTCCTCCAAAAAATCAAACTATTAATTTGGGCTTCTAACTAAGACTATTTGAACGGAAATCTCTTGGGAAAGTTAGCCCATAATCTCAGAAAACATGATTTAATTAGACAACACTGATTGACCGCAGTAAATTCTACATATATGAGAGATACCACATCACGTCTTAGTTACCTCTTCAAAGATTGTCCCCCTTTAGTTCACTGATTGCTCCTACTGCTAATGTTATCTGTGTTGCTTGCTCAATATTAGTTTTTTTTCAAGCCCAGTGAGATCTTAGGAGGGCAACCAATGTTTAGTTACAAGAGTAGAAACGCAGCTGGGTTTTGCTTGCAGCCTAGAAAGCATCTAAATGCATGGTCCATTCCATGAGACATCTGCAGTTCTGGCCATGATGATGTGCCTTTTTCTTCTGTATTGGGATCTACGTAGGTCAGAAAAAGTCAGTATGACCTCCCTCCCCTGTAACTCTTTCAATCTTATGTGAAACTTCACTTGCCTCCTACAATGTCATTTCAGCTTCTCATATTGAAAAGTAAGGCTGTGACTGTAATGTGTCCGCTATAGAGTAATACCATTAATATTTCTTTCTTGCTCTGAATTACCTTCTTTGTAGTATTTGTTGGCTTCTCTGATCTCTCTGTTGTTTCTTGAGGCCAGAATCTCAATTAAGGTATCTTCATCAGTTCCAAGCCCCTGATAAAAATGGTTAAATTTTTAGAAATGTTATTTGATACAACAAACTTAAAATTTAGAAGACCAGAAATAAGATGAAAATAATGGACTTGGCTTTGAAGGCCCCATGTGGAACAAGAAAGAAAAATTAAGAACATTGTGCTTCCAAAGAATTTTGTTATTTCAGCTCTTTTGGAATTAATTTTTTATCATATTTAATATCACTGGTACCCAAAAGAAGTGCTAAAGGGACCAAGCAGTGCACATAAAAGATAGGAATGTAAAATTTATGAAGAAAAATACCCCCTTCTCTTTTTGTTTTCTCTTACATAAACACTTATGTAAACACTATGGCTTTCTACCACTACATCAGCAACCAGTTTCCAGAAGGCAGAGAGTTCATTCTCACAAAAGAATACCATTTGCAGCCAATCTCCTCCAACCCTGAAATTTAGTGGAGATTACTGAGGCTTGTTCCCAGAACCTCTATTACCAGTATATATTTATTTTACAAAATGGGGTTAAAATTAAGACAATACACAAGCTTTGAAATCCAAGGCCAGTGCCACTTATAGGCCCTGATAATTATTTATGCTCTTTAGGAAAGTTTTTCTCAGAAGCTTTTGCCTTACCTTCATAGAAGCTCTTAATTCTTCAGCATCAAACTGAGCTGGAGTTTTGAGCAGAGCCACAACAACATCTTCCAAGTGGCTTTTCAGAACTTTTTTCAAGGCTTCTTCCAGACTCTGTGACAGGAAGAATAAGAAACACACTAAGCTAGTGAATGGTAAAAAGCTGCTCAGTCCAGAAATTAAGTCTGATCTCTGATGAATCTTAGTCTACATAATTCCTTTAGCTACTCGAAAGAATTACGAAGCCCTACTTGAGATTTTAATTTCTCACTTTTACGTTAATCAAAGTGTCAGGGTTTTTCGGTAAGTATTCAGGAGTGTTTTCACACATTGCAGCTCAGCCATATTCACCCATTTACAGCACCAGAAGACGACTCAAAATAGGCTGCTTGTTTTTTAAAAGAAGGTAATACTATATTGCTGTTATGATTATGACTGAGTTACTTATCTGGATTACATTTTAATTCATCCATTTATTGCATAACGGATACAGAATTTGCTGTGGAAACTCTGTGGACATAATGTAATATCGCCCTACACAAAACTGCAAGTCCTGAAGTTAAGATTTGGTCTATATTCTAATTTGACCTAAATTTAAGTTGAAAAAAAATAAATCTGATTTATTCTGCCTCCTATCTGGAAATGCTCAGTAGTCTATTTTGTTATATTAAAAGCTACAGCCCTGTTCTCCACCAAGTATGTGTCAAGGCTGTGGCTGTAAGAGTAAGAAGGTCAACCTGCTTTGTCAGGATACCTAAGCCAACAAGATTATTTCAGAAGCAAGCACTATGTCCATAGTTAGTTCTGTTCAGCTTTTGGTGTGCCAGGAACCAGGGTATCTAATAATCTAAGTTATATTTTAATTTAGGTCCTTAAAAAATATAATCGCAAGGCTGAAGCTTCCTTTTAAGGGGGAAAGGGCAGTGAAAACCACAGGTGACGTTTCCTGAACAGAAACAGGAAATCTAGGCTAAAATGAGATATTAGACTTATTTTCTAAGTTATACTTAGAGTTACAAAGCAAAAAACTCAAAGGAATCACTTTCCAAGGAGCGAATGCTCAGTAACTGTGGTATTCCAACTGTGCAATTGCAGTTTCAGTTCAGAGTTACAGGTTCAACTGGCGAAAATTTGTTACAGAGAAAAGTAAGAGGAGTTAATAGCTTTTCCAGAAACATGCAGTAATTTCCAAGATTCAGTTCCACGGACTAGCAGTTTTACCACTCAGAGGTAGAAGAACACTGCCCCCTGTACACCCATCCCCATACCAGTGTTGGTATACTTGTGGAACAGCGTTATGGTCCTATAGCTTTTCTATCCTATTTAGTATTCTATCTGGACTTATTCAGAGACATGCCTCCAAGTCCCCTTCTCCATCTCTCCCTTTCTCTTAGTAGACTGTCTCCCAGGTGGTAGCGAAATCTCTGCATTCCCAGCAATTTAGCAATTTAAAGGATTTCTAGGGCATTCAAAAAGTTGGAAAGTCAGAACTTCAAAATTTGTCTTTTTATTTCAGAATTTTTCTTTTTATTTCGAAATAATGGCCACCATATTACAAGGCTCAGCACTGGCCATATAGTTGTAGGTTATTATCATTCTGTCATGGTTTTCACAAACTACAGAAGGCTGAAGACTGTAACTTTCTGTTCTATGAAGCTAAAGCTATATGTACGATCTGAGCCAGGAGGAACATTGATACTCTGGGTGTAGATTTAAGCTTGGCTTGAATGTATTTTACCTTTCCTTTAGCCTGCTGATAGGCAGCTTTGATCTGCTGACGCTGAGCATTTGTTCTTTTAGTCAAGATGTCAATGATGGTGGCTTCATCCACACCTATGAGACACCAAACAACAATATGTCTAATATATTGGAAATATTATAGTGGTCTCAAGTGCATCATTTAGCCAAATAATAATTTTTACATTTTATTATTTGCTTTATGTCATATGTTGATTTCTTGACACACTGAAGTTTAACCAAAGGAAAAACTGTAATCGTCTGCTGATTTACAACTAGTGATGCAGTGAAGAATCCCGATAAATAGATTCTCATAGAACACAGAAATCTATGTTTCTACAATTTCATATAGAAAGTCTTAAAGTGTTCTGACTGCAGAACTTACACTACAGAATAACTAAAAAAAAAAAAAAAATTAGATGGCATACTCATTTAATCTCAGTAAATCAAATTGAAAAAGGTTTCAAAGTACAGGGAAAGTGCCAAATGTGAATTTCATTAAAAGAGAGAAGCACAATAGAAGCATACACTGCATTATCAGCATATTCACTGCCTCTTGCAGGGATTTTATGGAAATCAAATCAAAAAGTATTAGTATAGTATGTTACAATATTTTTTGATTCTCTAGAAATTAAATTTTTACAAACCTTCCTTCAACATATTCAAGAACTTTAATGTAGTATTAAGGTCTGAAATTGTAATACAACATCAGGATATCAAAGAGTGGAGATTCTTTACCAAGTGGCATAATTTAATGTATTGCCAAGCTTTTTAAAGCAGAGGCACCTCTCCCGCTTGCCATTGCCTCTCGCTCTGATATTTTATTTAGTGCTATTCTCAAAACTTCCTAAGGAAAAGTCCAAATGTAGCAGGCTAAATATTTACTCCTCTTACCCTTTACAGTAATAGCTTTGTCCAAAGCAACAACATCAGCTGATGGATCGAAGTTAGGGTATGACTGTACTCCAGAGCCACCTTTTGAACTTTTCTGCACAGGGGAAAAAAACAAAAACAAAACAAAAAAAAAAACCAACCCTGTTCATTCCAAAGAATATTATTGCAAAGAAGTGGTTTTAGATGACTAAATAAACCATGTATTTGGGATTGCCTATTACAGGACTATCAAGGAACATACACAGTTTTGCAACTACAGAGAACTAAACAGACTCAGTAATAGATATGCATTGGATCTATTTCTTTCACACCCTATATTAAACAGAACATATTTCATATATTGTTTTAGGAACCTGAAGACCTATTTCCCAGAGTAAGTTGGATTCCACAGGAAAATACTTCTTAACTGTCACATTAGGCAATTATGTCCAAATTTTAAAGGCTCTAAAACCACAATTAAATCCTTCAGGCACTGCCAGTAAAGTGCTGCTAATTTCCTTGCTCATCTTATGCAAATTGACTGTGCATCACATTAAGTGACTTCTCAGTTGACTCATATCTAAAGCTACAAGGATTTCTTGCATGCAGGATCTTGAAGAAGAGTTCAAGTCTAATCCTACAAGGAAGTGGAGAACTGTTGCTCAACTTCTTTGAAACTTGAGACCTACACCACACTTTCTTCACAGGCATTATCTACTGGCTGCCTTGGTGAATCCACGCCTAGATGGGCATTCCCTAGTCAATGTCTAAAGTGCTCTGGGAATAGCTAGGGATGACAAATTCCACTACATGACAGGTAATGCGGCCTGTCCTAAGTCAGCAACATGACAAATCAAGTTACTGGTAGGGCCTATAACCCAACAGCACTACCTAACTGATGCCATACTCATTACCATCTTTTACAGAAGCTATAAAATGCCCCAAGATTCTTGGATAAAATATTTGTATAAAATTCCCCTTGGTATGATATATGGTGAGATTTTTTTATTTAGAAAAAACCCAGTAGTTTAGCTACACTTTTTCAGAATCACCTATACTCTTTGTCCTGTTTCAACAACTCACTATTTTAATTTTTTTTAATCCTTTGCCACTAAAGTTAAATAGCACAAAACAAATGGCAAGGTCTTATGGATACATGTTTTACGTACAGCATTCTGTATTGAATTTTGTACACTTCTAAGGTCTGATAATTAATATTCAACTCCATACACAATTATATCACTAGAAATTGTATGAGAGCAGGGGGACTGCATACTTAAAGCAGTGTCTTGCACACTTTCGAAAAAATCACTGTGACTTTTGTGATAAGTCAACAGAGGAATGGGACTGGTTTGCTGTTTGTTTCTCAGGCACACGAGGTTAGTCTTTGTATACTGGTTCCCATGACAAACTTATCTACTAGCAATAAAAAACTGTCTGTAACCAACACAACCAGAATGACTCAGGACCCTTGGAGTGCAAGGGGGATGGGATGGTGGAGCCAAAGGTTTATGCACAAAAAGTTGTGGAGTCAAAATTATAAAATCCGCAAAGGTCTAGAGTAGAAAACTTTATTTACTGAAATTTCCCCGCTATATTCAATTTTTTTCAATATGAAAATTCAAATTTCCCGCTATATTCAATTTTTTTCAATATGAAAATTCTTTCAGGATCTCCTGTGACTTCACAGTGTGCCACTTTACCTTTGCTGCCAGTCATTTCAGTATCTTAATCAACTTCATTGTCACAAAGACTCTCCACATCATCCTAGTGTAATAACTCTTGACTTCTCACCACCATAAGCCTCCCTTCTAATCAGTATCAGTACTGATCATCTGAGGTGTTTTGTTACATACTGTGACTCATTCCACCGTAAGCACGACATATGATACGAAAACTAGGACATCTACTAGTGACTTTAGTTCCTCCTTTACATTCCTGGGCTCCAACTCATGGCTTCCTGTACCTCAGCCTAAGAGTCCCTGTTTTTCTCATGTACGTCATCTGGACATGTTCTTGCACATTCACACACCTGTGCATCAGATTACTACTTTAAAGAGGATGACTTGGGTGCATCAGTGATTGGCCACTGGCAATTACAATTTCATTACAGTAACTAGTTCTGTCTGGGCATTGATAACTAGACTGATATGTGCAAATAAGAGCAATTTTTCATCTGATAGCAGACTTACTAGGTTATTAGATTATATTAGATCATATGCTGCAATAAAATTGGGTTCCAGTTCTAATCAGCTGGAGTTTTGCCATGGTTTTCCTCCCTTTGAGTATATGAAAGACATTTAGTGACCTATGCCTTTAAATCACTTCTAAAAGTACTTGAAAAGAAGCATGATGCTCTCAAAAGGTGATAACACTT